CAAATATACTTTACTAGTATTAAAGGCGACTGAACGATAAGGATAAGTGTTACGCTCAAACATCCTTGAAAGGCAACAAAGCCAATGGGAGAATAGTTTCAAGTCGTACACCATTGATTTGATGGGATTCTCTACTCTTAAGAGCTCTCAGCAAAAAAAGCCTGATCAGAAAGAAAAAAAGTGTTCCAGCTATAGCTCGGGATGAGCTCAGGGTAAACTCCCAAGCTCGGGAATTGATTTCAAAGTTTGATATGATGAACAAATGAAATGTCTCATTAACAAGCATGACTTGTCAGAGCAATCATGTTTACTTCATTACACCGTTAGTTCATAATGATCACTGTCAAATTAATGATCCATCTAAACTCCATATATATACTTCCCTTATTAAAATATACTCAGTAAAACTCGTAAAATATACTTCCCTTATTAAAGGGAGAATTGAGCTCAACAAATTCTAATTCTTCACTGAAAGAACAAGTTGTATGAAGCTCATAAAAGTGACTCATTTATTAGAGAAGTGAGCTAAGTAAAGTTCATAATGACTACTCCTTTCATTGAAGGGTCATACTGATCAAATATACTTTACTAGTATTAAAAGCGACTGAACGATAAGGATAAGTGTTACGCTCAAACATCCTTGAAAGGCAACAAAGCCAATGGGAGAATAGTTTCAAGTCGTACACCATTGATTTGATGGGATTCTCTACTCTTAAGAGCTCTCGGCAAAAAGAGCCTGATTAGAAAGAAAAAAAGTGTTCCAGCTATAGCTAGGGATGAGCTCAGGGTAAACTCCCAAGCTCGGGAATTGATTTCAAAGTTTGATATGATGAACAAATGAAATGTCTCATTAACAAGCATGACTTGTCAAAGCAATCATGTTTACTTCATTACACCGTTAGTTCATAATGATCACTGTCAAATTCATGATCCGTCTAAACTCCATATATATATATATATATATATATATATATATATATATATATATATATATATATATTAACATGCATGACGGATGGAAAGAGCAAATGCATTCATGTATATATATATTAACATGCATGACGGATGGAAAGAGCAAATGCATTCATGTATATATATATTAACATGCATGACGGATGGAAAGAGTAAATGCATTCATGCCTATCTTGACTCATAATCCTAAGCATAATATTCTAAATATTCTTTAATTATATATAGTTGTTGAGTTTTTGTTTACATTTAGGCTTACTATTCAACAGCAGAGTTACATCTATATTTATGGATTATGAGAACAAGTCTACTTATTTGAAAGAAAAATAATGAAGAAAGTAGCAGTGAAAAAATTATATAACAACTTCTCCAAGCATGGAGTTCGAAAGTGTCACTCCCGAGTAGTGACTGTAGAGCGCGCAACCGGCAAAAAATATATATATGCATATATGTACATTTTTAATTATTGTTTGAAATTTAAAAGTTTACCACAAATATATCAAAGAAGCCAAAAGCCAATTGGCATTCCCAACTCTTGACATGCAAAATTGGGAACGGGGGCAACTGATGAGGAAATTAAGGAAATAGGGTAAGTCAACGGTATTGATAAAGTAATTAAGATAAAGTGATCATCTCATAAGGTAATTAAAGGATAAAATTTGATTAGTTCAAAGGTTGAACTGAAGATACATTAATTAATTCCTTCTCTCTTGGAAGGAAATACGAAAATGAGAACTTCAACTCTTCTATAAAAGTGAGGCCAATCAACTTAAAAAGGTATGAAAAAATACTTACAAAAACTTCGTATATTTGATATATTTTGTTTAAGCACGGACTTGATCGTGGAAGGGGACTCAATTAGCACCCCACCAGTGTTATCCCGACTACCATTTCTCTTCTCTTGCTGGAATGGCGTTCCAGTACGAATTATGCTTCAACAGATACAAAGAACCATCTAAAATGAAATGAATGTAACATTCAAAAAATAAATAAATGAAATGAACATGCTTAACTGTGCAATATTCTTAGTGAACCCATTAAAATATGAAGTACACAACTATGCTTTGTTTTGCTTTTTTTTGAAAAGACGTGAAGGGGGTTTTATCAAATCCAAGTAGACGTACAAAAAGTAGAAAAAAGAGATAGAGGAATAAGATTTTTTTATAAAGAATCTTAAAACATTCGGAACCATGCATATCCATATATCCACACAGTGTGTGACTCCTGTGTGTGTGTGGGGATAGGAGTAAAAGAGAGGGCGAGAGAATTATCTCCCCAACATTGTTCATGTTCTTATCTATCCATGCCTTTTTAGCTTTATGTCTCGCACGTCACCGGTAAAAATGCAGCATATATCTCTGGTCCCCCATGGGAGCCTAGTTTGACTATCATATCAAGAGTCAAGACCTACACATCCATATTAACTTAAACCCCAAATGCATCCTCAATTATACAAGAATGGCTGTATGTTGCATATCTATATATGTCTATATATATATATCGATGTATTAACTCAGCGTCTCAATTTCTCAACCCCATATATCTGTACCCGCATAGGCTCAAATACAAAAGTATAGCTTTAGGACTCCGTATGTGTATCTATATACTACGTGTGTGTGTGTGTACACACAGGTTACTGCCATTTTTCCTATTGTTTCACCTACCCTGTATCCTTGCCCACAGTTTAATAGGTTGAACATTTTTACAATATAAAGCATCTCTATCTCAATTTATGGCATCATCGCCATGCTAGCATATAGTATATAAATACAGTGTATATATATAATAATGATTCTCTAACTTAATAATTTAATATGTGTGAATAAAATCAAAACTTTCTAAATTGATATAATTTGTTAGATTAAAATTTTCAGTTACACTATCAAGTCTGAATAACATTAATTATATATATATATATATATATATATATATATATGTGTGTGTGTGTGAGAGAGGGATTAGGTTGGGTCAATGGGGAATTCATGCCACAATGAATGTGTCATTTTAATTCCAGTGTTTTATGGTTCAAGTTTGAACAACAGGATACAAATACAGTAACATATGGAAGAGATTGGTCTATGCTTTTGAGTGACACGACTTTGGGTACCCATCCAAGACATGTGTGTGAGAGAGGGATTAGGTTGGGTCAATGGGGAATTCATGCCACAATGAATGTGTCATTTTAATTCCAGTGTTTTATGGTTCAAGTTTGAACAACAGGATACAAATACAGTAACATATGGAAGAGATTGGTCTATGCTTTTGAGTGACACGACTTTGGGTACCCATCCAAGACATATATATATATATATGAAAGACTAAACAACTGTATATATAACGTAAATATCCAAGACATATCCTTCCCAAAGTAACAAGGCAGTCCACTGTGGCTCTAAAGCTATGTAGGGTCCACGTACCATTAATGGATAAGATATGCATTTTGTTTAAATCCCAAACATATCATGTGAAAATTTAATATGCACAGAGGAATGCATTATTGTCCATACTAAACAATTAATTTGCATGATTCAACCAATATATTGCCTTGCTTAACATATTCAAATAATTAAATTGCGTATTATTTTCAGTGGACACAAGATTGCTTTCAAATGATAACAACCACCCAATTTTACTTAATTTCCTTCAAATTTAAAGAATCTTAAGAAAAATTCCACTTCATTTAAAATTTAATGCTTAAATATATATTTTCAATAAATACTTTAATTAACAAAAAAAAAAAAAAAAAAAAAAACTTACAATATTGAAGCTAGACAACACTTGTCTAAATAACAAAAACCTTGATCCTATAATTTTAAATATAACACTGACATTTTGTATCATTATTAACTTTGATTCGAATGTGTTAAATGAAAATAATAATCATTACAATTTTATCATTTTTTTCGAGCCGGTTCACAGGGAATGAATGATTATTAGATAATATATACTTTTGACGTTGATACAACTTATTTTACTTCCTATGTCCTCCGTTAGGGGGAATTGCATATGTCTCTTTTGTGGCTTTGTTTTTGCTACTATGCTTTTGCTTGCTTTTCCTTAGTCCTTTGTCACTGGGCTCTCTTTTGTAAAGTTGCTCATGCAACTTGCTGGCCATTGGCCTTGGCTGCTAGCTACTTTCCAATTCAAGTACTATTCTTATTTTATCGGAAAAAAGAAATAATATTTTTAAATTTTTTAAAAGTATTTTTAGATTTTAAGTAAATATTGTGCGTGATATTAACATGCAAGAGTGCTCTATTTTTATGACAGAAAAAGTTAGTGTTACTACTCAAACGTGGACTAGATGCATGATAAATTTTATAATTGATACTATAGTGGATGTTCTATATGGAGTTGAAGTGTAATTACTCTTATATTTATTATAAAAATTGAAATAAAAACACTTTTCGCAGAAGAAAATGAAAACTAACATAGAATAAATGATTAAAAAAAACAAATAATTTTAGTTTTCGAGAATAAAATGCTACTAATGTTCTTCAAATTGTAAAAAAAAAAAAAAAGAAAAGAAAAAAGAAAAAGAATGATTTATTATAGACCAGGCAAATGTGGGTCCATTCCAACTGGATCCTTTTGTCCATAACCCGACTATTTCGCATGTTGCTGTTTTAGTCTTTGCACATGGTATTATCGTCCTATCACAGCTACGGATCTTCTTTAGAATAAGACCATTTTCCACCCGTCACACACTATTCGGGTCCACTCCATGTCCCCAGATCGAAAAGGAAATATTGTTTGCTTGGACCTCTGGCCCACCTCTAAAGTTTCCATGCCCCTTATGCTTTCCACCCAGATCATCTCATCTTCTACACCATATATACTCATCATCTACCACAAATCTATGTCCGTATAAAATATAGTCTCAAATATTTTGTGGTTGATACCGGGGACACCACCTAGACAGGTATCTACTTCCACGTCCATCAACTCAAATAGGGATGGTGGTGGGCTCTTCTAATTCTGAAGACGCATTTTAAAAAAATTACCAGCAAAATTAACCCAGTAACAGATAAATCAAAACTATTTCAAAAGAGGAACATGCACAAGTCTATGAAGATAACCCTATGGAGTACCCTAGTTTTCATATCTACGAGACAGAGCGGGTCATGAGATATATAGAGAGAGAAAAAAAAAATTATATATATATATATATAGAGAGAGAGAGAGAGAGGAGTTGTGATAGCTATCACTCCGCTGAACAGACAGAAAGCAAACCCGAGCTGTTTTCATTTGTTTTGTAATTCATTTTTTCCATAAAGTGATGCCTGGAGAATCTCTTGGAGATCTTTCACAGTGAGGAGAGAGAGAAGATACACATGTTTGGCCTTAAATATATATATGTATTATTACTGTGTACAAATGAGACCCACCTCATATATATTTCTCACAACCCAACAAACAAACAAGCATATTGGTATATGTATATGTATACGATCACAAATATTTTCTCTCTCTCAAACACACTCACATGGCCAGCTTTGTTAGAGTGAAGGAAGCTGTTGTGGTCACTCCTTCAGACACAACCCCATCTCGTCTTCTCTCACTCTCGGCTTTAGATTCTCAGCTTTTTCTACGCTTCACCATAGAGTACTTGTTGGTCTACAAGCCATTCCATCATGGTTCGGACAGGGGTTCGACCACGGCTCGATTAAAGTCTGCACTGGGCCGAGCTCTGGTTCCTTATTACCCGCTTGCCGGCCGAGTCAGGGCTCGCCCAGATGGTTCGGGGCTCGAGGTGGTGTGTCGAGCCCAGGGTGCGGTTTTCATCGAAGCGGTCTCCGATTTCACCGTGTCCGACTTTGAGCGGGCCCCACAGTTCGTGACCCAGTGGCGGAAGCTGCTGTCGTTACACGTGGCGGATGTGCTGAAGGGCGCCCCACCAGTTGTTGTACAGCTGACGTGGCTAGCGGACGGTGCTGCCACGTTGGGTGTTGGGTTTAATCACTGTGTCATCGACGGTGTTGGGAGTGGTGAGTTTCTCAACTTGTTTGCTGAGTTAGCCACTGGTCGGACGAAACTCACCGAGTTTAAACCCAAACCCGTTTGGGACCGTCACCTTCTAAACCCGAACCCATCGAGTCCGGGTCAGAACAACTCAACAACTCATCCCGAGTTCAACCGAGTCCCCGATCTCTGCAGTTTTGTCTCCCGCTTCTCTCAACAGAGACTCAGTCCCACGTCGGTCACATTCGATAAAACATCTCTACAAGAGCTAAAGAAGCTCGCTATATCCACGAGTCGACTCAGCGAGTTATCCTACACGTCATTTGAAGTACTCAGTGCCCATATATGGAGAAGCTGGGCAAGAGCATTAAACATGCCGGGCAATCAAATACTAAAACTCCTCTTCAGCGTGAATATCAGAGACCGAGTCAAGCCGAGTCTACCCACTGGGTACTACGGCAACGGGTTTGTACTGGGTTGTGCCCAAACGAGTGCCAAAGACTTGGCAGAAAAGGGTGTAGGATATGCGTCGGGATTGATCAAGAGAGCTAAAGAGAGAGTGGGAGAGGAGTACGTTAGAGAGGTGGTGGAATCGGTGAGTGGGAATCGGGCGAGTCCGGACTCGGTGGGTGTGCTGATCGTGTCGCAGTGGTCAAGGCTGGGGCTGGAAAGGGTTGACTTTGGAATGGGGAGGCCAGTGGAGGTGGGTCCCATTTGTAGCGATAGGTACTGTCTGATGCTCCCAGTCTATGATCAGAGGGACAGCGTGAAGGTGATGGTGGCGGTCCCCATCAACGCCGTTGACAAATACGAATTTTTGCTGAGGAGTCCCCACTTCTGACGATCATGTATTCCTTTCCTTGTTGACTTTGTATCATCACTTTGACTTTTCTTTTTCTTTTTAAAATCTTTTTATATCCTCCGATTGATTCTTAGCAAAATTCCTATCCACGAACATTTTTCTGAGCAATGTAGTCGTCACACCCGATTTTTGCTCCCCAATTTGTTTTGCTTTTGCTGGTTAATAGACAGACACGTGGCATTTACCAATATGACGTGCCACTTGTCATCCAAACATTCATGGCAAAAAGAACAAGGTTTTGCTAATGAACTTCCATTGGCTCCAAATCAATGTGTGTGTCTTTTTAAATAAATTAAGACCAATGTTTCATTATAAAGTTACATACACAAATTAAACTTTTTCTAATTTGATACAGTACTCCTTAAAAATATGAGAAAGTTAATTTTAAAATTTCTAACAAAGGCATGCATAAAAGACTAAAAACTATTGAAAAGATGAATTATTGTCTCGATGTGGCTACAACATTTAGGATCTCTAAATTAATTACTACCAACAATAGTATGGGCCGAGCTTTTAATGGGTTAATTTGGATTATAGCCAAGGTCCAATTTTTTTTATATAAAAAAATTAATACTATTATTATTACCAATTCAGTCTATATGTAATTAATTTTTAATACTATTCTTGATCTTTCTATCAGCCAATTCAGCACAATTCATTGTACTACTTTTCTTCTTCCTATCAGCCCAATTCACGTGTGATATGTAATCAATTTTTACTACTCTTCAACCACTTACTCTCAACACACACGGTTGTGTTTTGGGTCTAACAAGGAAATTGCATAGACTTAAGAAGGGTCCAATTTCTCATCTTTTTGAATAAATATTGATAAAAAATCAATGAAAAGAATACGTAGAAAAAGAAAAATCTCTCTGAAATTAGGAAACTCTATTTACAGATGAGTTTTAATTTTTATTCCCTAAAAACTTGATTTGATATATGAGAACAACATCGTTTTTTGGATTTATTTTTAAATATATATAACATATCTTTTAATATAAGAATTATTGTGTTCATCTTTAAATTTTTTTTAATTATTGTTACCTCTTCCTACTTTGCAATCCTAGTTCCGCCCCATTACAAGAGATTGATTTAAGTAATAAAGTGTTACAAAGGGTGATTTGTTCCACATCGAATCTGGATGGGATCGAGAATAACTAAATATATATGAATGGAGTGTTAGGTCCACCTAATAATTTAAGCTTTTTGATAAAAAAGATCAGGTTTAAAGTTTGACTCACTTTTAATAAAAATTTAAATACAATCTATTTTACATGTTTTGCTTAAATCATAATTAACACATTTAAGTGTCAACAAATTCTCCAATCTTGTAAGAACATAATTGGTGAATATGAATCATTGGCATAAAAATGCTGGCATGTTAGGAACAAAAATATTATACTATTCACTGTATCTAGTTTTTTCTTTTTTCACCATCCAACAAGAGGAGTACTGAGTGATATGCTGTTTCAAGCTTTCATAATATTCTCATTAACAAAATAAAATTAATTAAGGATGTTGGTACACACACTGCACGCTCATTAGAAGTCCCTTGACTTAATATTTAGATTAAAATACATGGTAAATTTGTAATATATATATATATATATATATATATGCTTTAGGCTTCCATATCTAAAGAGGGTTGTGAAGATACGATCGAATCAACAAAGAGAGACTTGTCGTCACCCTCATTCTTAAGGTCGACCACTTTTACCTTTTGCTTTCTAACTTTTTATTGTTTTCAAACAAACCATTTACTTATACCTAGATATTCCCATACTTATCTTTCATTTTCATTTGAATAAAATAATATTGGAGGACTTTTTGTGGATGTATATTAGAGTTGTGAGGAAATTCCTTGCCATTTTTCTCTCTTTGGATTAGATAATTAGATATGTATATATATAAATATACGTATATCAATAATTAAATAGAGGAAAAAATGATTCTTTGTCTCTGTAAGTTGACACTTAACAAGGGAGTCGTGGGTTCCATATTTCTTTGTGAGAAAGTTTATTATGTTAACTCGACTTGTATAAGGTTGTTTTAAATCACTAATAAACAATATATATATATATATATATATATATATATATATATATATATATATATATTATTTCTTTATTTTAATCAAAGTGGATTCATATTCTATTTGTGTATTCCTTCTAGGTGTAAGGGCATTTAGATTTTTTTTTTTTATAACTTAAATTGAATGTTTACAAAGGATTCTGCACAGAGTTATAAGTTTGTTACCTCATATTTTTTGAAGTTCTAATTAACTAAGTGTTCGTTTGGTAATGGTTTTTATTTTTATTTTTTTTGTGATTTTGCTTTGACTTGAAGTAAAAGCAGTGTTTCTTTTTCAGAGTGTGTTTAACATTATTTCAAAATTTATTTGGTAACGTAAATTTGTTGTAAGATTTTTTAAAACAAAAACATGAAAACATGTTTGGTAAAAAATGTCGCAAGTTCGAAAAATTAAATGACTAGTTATAAATGTAATTTAGATTTTTTTTTTTTTCAAACAATGTTTTTGCTATAGTGCTGAAGCAACTAAAAGTGTCATTTTTATGCTAATGATTTTGGTATATTTTTCGAAAGGGGTACTATATAAATGATAATAAACGTTACCAAACATATTTCGTACTTTTACTTAGTCACATTACACTAGCAAAAGTATTGGCCGAAAAAGCCCTAATAGTTGTAACTTACTATCAATGTTTTTTTTTTTGGTAAAAAATAGACTCATATTTTCACTTGTTTGGGTATATCAATTAATACCTTTTGCTTTTAAAATTTATTTATTGAATTCTTAAATGGGCCTCTCATATAAATATCAACAACTTGAAATGACATAATGCTAGCCCTAAAACACACTAGCTGGTATTTTGGGCTTTTGCTGAAAGCCCAGCTAACAATCTTGGTTTTGTATCCCTCATCATCACGAGATGATATTGAGTAAGCTAGACATACCACTTCATTGATATGCCCAATCAATGAAAATTCAACCTACAATGAAAATGGTCACACCCATTTGAAAAAATCTCCCTCAACAACTTAATATGATAGTAAATTTTTATTGGTTGGACATATTAATAACAAAGTATGCCCGGCTCAATGAATATCTACTCCATCATCATCCTTTGAGCCAGCAGGAGTTGGTGTGTGAGTTTTTCTTACCATCATTAAATAAATTATAAGTAAATAAATAAAAATCATCCTTATAAGGGGAATAATAAACTATAAACCTGAAGCTAAGTCGAATTGTTTTGGGCTAGGCCTAGACAAAATTTTGAATTCATGTAACAATCCTGACCAGGATCCAGAGTAGCGTAATATATATTGTTGATCCAAAGATAAAGCAAAGCCCATTGACAAAGTAGATTCATTTAGTTCTTTGGGCCCAATGCCTAAAAGTTAAAACTAACTGAATTATCAATTGCATTTATTTATCTGTTTACCGCTTGACTAATGACTATTAATTTAATTATTACCACGACTATTAATTACTCAGTGCATGTAGAACGGAGGACTACATGTGCTAAGTGGAGGTGAATTATGGATTTTTCTAAAAGACCCGACACCACCATTATTAAGAATAACATAATGCTAGCCCTAAACCACACTATCCGGAGTTTTGGGCTTTTTGTGAAAGCCCAGGCCAGTTAAGAATCTCCAGTTGTAACGCTCATTGTTACTCTTCAAAAAAAAAAAAAAAAAAAAAAATTTGAAGGCTGAAGCTGAGTCAAATTGTCATGGGCTACAATAGTTAGGGCCCAAAATCCCTAGTACATAGGACAACAGAATTGTCTAATGTCAAATGCATTTATAAAGAGAGGAATGGAAAAATAAGCAAATTGTTTTTAAAATAAATTATGATTATGTTCCAGTAGGAAATTAGATGGAAGCTATTACGGAGGGTTAAATCGAAGAGGCATAAAAAAGAAAAAAAAAATAGTAAATAAATTGGCGATAGTACCCATGAATAATGATTATATATAATGTGATAAAAGGATTAAAACCCTTTTCAAGCCAAATAAATATAATTGCAGGTAGCTCATTTTAGACTAATGACTGTAAGGTAAATTACGTCCTACATATACCGTCTGCCCTTAATAAATAATAAGCGTAGAGTTGGGTTGACGAGGATTCGAACCCATTCTACGATTCGCCTAGAGGGCCATCCTACCAACCAATTACGCTACGCCCACAGTCTCTCCTTTCCGTAATTTCCTTGCCCATTTATTCTTTTCCAACCAAACATATTGGTAAACTATACAGTACATTTGTTTTTTAACATATTGAAAACAAAGTAATGGCGTTAAAAAGACCTTACTGCACCAGTGCAACACCAAAAATTACACCAAAAATCCAGACTTCTCATATGATATACAAGTAAATTGGCAGTGGAGTAAGGTAACCTGCAAAAAGGCAATAAAAAATAAAAAGTGAAGGAGGAGAGAAGATGAGGTTTCTTCAAAGTCATATATGCAATAAATATTAGTTAATTACTAAATTTATTTATGAGTTGTGGCCCTCAATAGAACAGCTCCCCTCCAACCATGCAACATAATGCATAACCCTAAAACGACAAGCATCAGATCAGCAGCCTTCCACACACACACACACACACACACACACACACACACGTGTGTGTGTGTGTGTATATATATATGTGTGTGTATGTTACTTACAACTGGTGTCTTCGTGAGTTCCAAGACAGGGCTGGCCAGCACATGTTATTTGCTGCTAAAGTTCTTCTACTTCCTTTTACATGCAGACACGTCATTCCTTCATGCAATTCTCTCAGAAAAAGTGCTAGCTGTTGGTTCCATATCATCAACAATATTTTAGTACTGTATAAAATTAGGGTTTTCCTTCATTTTCATTGAATTTTTTGTTTTCTCCTTATCCGGGTATGACTTACTCCACATTTAGTAGGGAAATATGAGTAAGGGAGGGAGGAAGAAGGCAGAGGAAGAATCGTGAAGAAAGCTTCTCCCAATTTGGTTGGATGGAGGAAGGAAAGGAAAAAGAATTCCTCCATACCTGCTACAAATTTATTTATTTATTTATTTTTTGCCCTCCCGAAACTGGGACAATGAAGAAAGCTTCTCCCAATGTGTAACAT